TAACGATTGCAATTTGACTTTCTCCCTTGTTTAGCTCTCTCATTGCTGTTGCTGTCACTGTGTTTTTTATTATTTCTGTAAAGATGATCATACTTTTGAAAAAGTTGATAAGCCAAATTCAAGCCTAAAATCCACTTCAAAGGTACAATCTAGTCAAGACCGGATAGCAAACCTTCAGATGCACAGAAACAGAATAGCCTACCTGCTAACTTTTTCATCCAGACACTGCTTTACTTCACCAGTCCATATAAGCCCATTGTGTCTGTAATCTGATGATTCTGGAGCACCTCTGCTGGTGATGCCGATTCCTAGCACTAAACATTTTCTTATAGTCACGAATCACATTTAAACCTGTTTTGGAAGTTTAAAAGGGATTGGTAATGCAGCAGAAAGAAAAAAAGTTACAAATAACAGAATTGAATTACTACAATCCTACCGCCCTCCTGCTGACCCTCTATGGGGCCGCGTGTGCTTATTCTGCAGCACATTTCATAGTAACCATATTAAAGGTAAACTGAGTCATTGCTCTGACATTAGCACAGTTGCTTTCTTTACTGCTTGGCTTAGGTAGCTGAATTTTACTCCTTGAATGGGATTGCTATTTAAAGGAGAACTATGAGATGAGTGATTTCCACTCACCTCATAGTTCTAGCCGACCTGTGACAATAAGACTGTCACAGGTCGGCTCAGTAGATCAGGAGATGAGCGAACACATACCAGGTTCGCTCACCTCTCGATCCTGTCACGGCTCTCTGCCGTGACAGGGGAGGGGCTGGATTCCCCTCTCCCCGCTCCGATCTGCCAGCGCTGACTGGCGGAACGGACAGGGAGGGGGCGGGTACAGCTGGCTCTGCCTCTAGATAGGCAGAGCCAGCTGTCACTTACGCAGCTGGGCGGATCCCGTCATCTACGTCGGGATCCGCTCCGGCGTCTCAGTATACCGCGAGCTGTAGCTCGCGGTATACTGAGCTTAGGGTAACGGGAGGACGCTAGTATGTGTCCTCCCGTTACCCTAAGGAGAACTATGGGGAAAAACACTGACCCCATAGTTCTCCTTTAAAGTAGAACCCAAGGCAAAACTCAGGCAACTAACATTTTCAGAAGGATAGGTCAGCAGCGGCATCCCCCATAGTATACCAGTACAGACTTTTCCCCAACATTCTTCTCATTTTTATTATTAAACAGGATTTATATAGTGTCAACAGTTTGCACAGCGCTGTACAAAGTGGTGGAAGACAGTACAGTTGCAATACAATATCAATATAGAAGGGTTAGGAGGGCCCTGCTCATAAGAGCTTACAATCTAGTAAGAGGGGTCGGCTGATATAAAAGGTAATTGTATGGGATGAGCTCTTGGAAGAAGTAAAAGAGCAGTTATTATGTTGAGATGGGATAGGCTTCCCTGAAGAGATGAGTTTTCAAGGATCGCCTAAAAGTGGACACAGTAGGAGATAAGAGGCAGATTGGGCAAGGGAATTGCAGAGGATGGGAGAGGCTCTGGAGATTTCTGGAAGCAAATATAGGAGGAGGTGAAGAGGGAGCTAGAGAACAGAGGTCTTGAGAGGAGCGGAGAGGACGGTTTGGGTGATATTTTGAGATGAGGTGGGTGATGTAGCCAGGGGCAGAGTTGTAGATGGCTTTGTATGTTGTTGTTAATATTTTCAATTGTATTCAGTGGGCAAGTGGGAGTCAGTGGAGGGATTAACTGAGAGGGGTGGACACTGACCTATTAGTAAGGTGGATGAGTCTGGCAGTAGCATTTATGATAGACTGAAGGGGGGATAGCCTGTGTAGAGGTTGGCTAACAAGGAGGGAGTTACAGTAGTCGAGGTGAGAGATTACAAGGGTGTGAATTAGAAGCTATGTGATGTTGTTTGTTAAAAAAAGGGCACATTTTGGAAATGTTACGGAGGTTGAATCAGCAAGATTTGTATAGTGATTGGATGTGGGGCTGAAAGGAGAGGTCAGAACTGAAGATTACACCAAGCACTCCGATGTGAGGAGTGGAGTTGATCGTTGTGATATTGATGGAGAAGTAGGAGGGGGCACAGAGATGAGGAAATATTATAAGCTCAGTTTTGGACAGATTGAGTTTGAGGAAGCAGAGTGACATCCATGATGATATGTCAGCGAGTAGATTAGTGATACATGATGAGACAGAAGGGGAGAGTTGAGGAGTGAAGAGATAGATTTGGGTGTCATCAGCATAAAGAGGGTATTGGAAGCCGTGGGAGGTTATCAGCTGATCCATGGAGGAGGTGTAACTAGAGAATAGAAGCAGCCCAAGGACAGAGCCCTTGGGGACCCCCAAGGAAAGAGGAGTAGAGGAGGTAGAGTTGTAGGTGACACTGAAGGTATGCTGAGATAGGGCAAAAGCCAGATTGACAGGGCCCAAGGAGGTTGTTAATGGTTAGGTGGGTGGCTCAGGCAGTTGTAGACTGGGACTCAAAAAGTTTGGAGGTACATGGGAGCAAGGAGATGTGTATTAAACTGTTCAGACCAGTGGGGTCCATTGAGGGCTGAGATAACATTTGATATCAGCACTTATAATGGTCTATTATTCTTCTTAATTTTGTTTTTCATCTTTTGACATGCAAAGGTGAACTCGCTTTTTAAATGTTTTTTTTTCTTTCTTAAATCTTGTCTCATCAGCGTCGACTCCGAACGGGCGCAGATAAGAAAATGGCAAATTGATTTTCTTGAGCGCAGCTGAGTCACTATAGATTCCCAATACAAGGATTTATCTTGGTGATTGCTAATTACATTTCTTCTCTAATATCTGAGTTTCCACCCTATGAACACAGAGGGACTGATGCGTCCTTGCGGCGCGGTTGCCTTGTGCCGTCTCCGCTATCTGAATATCATTTGTCTGCATTGCATGAAACAGGCCCCTTGCGCATACCAGTACGGTGCACAAACGCAATTATTGGCAAAGCGCAGTGTTTTACATGATAAGTGCTTTGTAATTGCAAACATGCCTCTATATCAATCAATCTGAATCTTTTTCCAATTAATGTGTATTTTTACAGAAACTCAATGAATCTTTTTATTAGCTTACAAAAAAAGTTGGAATGCACTCTTGAATAATACCAGAAAAAAAGCAAAACAAAAAACACACACACTCTGAGAACAGTGCGGTGCCAAGTTGTGGCCTGAGGGCCACATGCAGCATTTTTATACTTATGGTGTGATCCTCGATTCCAGCAGCCAGAAGTGAGAGCATTGACTTAGGAAAGGAGCTTGACTGCTGAGAATCATAGTTAAACATAGTTAAACACTTCTTTTACGTTGAAACTGCTTTCTGTACCTTTTCCCTCCAACCGACATTGAATACTAGACAAATTAACTTTATTGGAAGGGCAAGGCCATAGCTTTATTGACGTTTATCATCATATAAAACATAACTCTCTTTTCTGTTTACATTAACTTGTGCCAGTCACGGATAAACCTTGAGCAGCCAAACTATAACACAATGCAGAAAATCTGTCTTCACCATCAGTTCTAGACAGATGTCCAACTATCAAAGAATTTCAGCATTGTTAACGTGGTAACCGATTTAGCTGGCAAGGTTGAAAACATGCCAACAAAGCTGTGACAAGTGTACGGGAGGGGGGGCGGGGATGTCC